TGTGTGTGTGTGTGTGTGTGTGTGTGTGTGTGTGTGTGTGTGTGTGTGTGTGCGCACGCTGTGAGGGTTTGCGTGTGTTCTCCTTCCTTTTGTCTGGTGTCTTCATCTTTCTGATGCTTCAGTCAAAGATCAAGGTTATCACACACCAGCACATTCACATAATCGCAGGCACAGATGCATAGATACACCCAGACATGCTATAAATCCATACACACACAGTCTCATATATATATATATATATATATATATATATATATATACATACAGAGAGATAAAATACCTCCACAGCTGCAATGATTGATCATTTAGTTGATTAACAGAGAGTTGATTTCTGTTTTATTTCATCTTAAATTCAATATCTTGCACTGTTGGAATTGTGACGGACATTTTAAACTATTTTGTAGGCCAAACCATTAATTGATTAATTGAGAAAATGATCTGTAGATAATTCTATGATGAAAATAATAATCAGTTTGAGCCCTACACACCTCACACGCATGCTTTTTTGCTGATGAACCAACAGTTCAAACCTGTCTCCTAAAAATGACGTTCATATAGTCTACAACCAAACTGCAAATACGTTTAGGAGGAAACGTAACTGTGACTGGATTATGTTTTCTATTGAAATAATGAGGATATGTTGTTAATTTACATATTTGGCAAGTCACAATTACTGAACATATCAGTAAAATGTTCACAGACATCGAACTTGTTTTCTGCCAAAATGTCCCATCTTGTAGTACAATGTGCATTTGTCGTGACTGCAGCATCATTAAACTTTTTTCATGGTTATGTGTAGACACTCACAACTCTTGGTTAACGTTAGATAAAGATCTTGGTCTGGTTTAATACGGACAACACAACATTAGCATGTAATCAACAAAACAAATCAAAACAATCTTTCCTTGATCTTAACCAAAGTGCTTTTGTTGCTTAAATCTAACCACAGACAGCAGTCTGGATGCGAACTCTGGTCTCTGGTGTGACAGCCGTGCACTTTGTGCGCCCGCCAACAACCCCAGCCACCTCCTGGGGCTTGTCATTAATAAATGCAGAGCTTCATTCATTAAAAAAAAAAAAAAAAAGATTGCCTCTGAATGTAATCCAGCCAGCAATTACTTTTCCTACAAAACATATTTCCTGTTGCAGTTTAGTCGTGTATGAATTTTGTAGGAGACAGGGTGCGCAGTTACCACGCTGATCAGTAAAAGAACAAACTTCCTTCAGGCCCATAAATGAATTATTTACAAAATAAAGTTGTAATTTCTGAAATACAAAAGAGAAACAGACATATATCAAACATGAAACTAAATTTGAAATTTACATGGATTGTAATTTATTGAGGTTTAGATTAATCTGGCTGCACTGAATGTATAAGTGGTTGACACAGATTTAAAGAAAAGAAACTGCTATCACTCTCAGATTGATTGACACGTATTTCAGTACCAAAGCTGAAACATACATTTTGGCAAATATACTTCCAATACCACCCTCATGTTTGTCCTGAGTCTGTTCCGAGTTCAAGAATATTCCAACCAGCACCTGTAAATTAACATATTATATCTCATTTGTTTAATCTGTACAAAAAAACAAACTGTAAAAACAAGTTTTGATTTCACGGGCGATTGTGCGCTGGACTATTTTTCCAGCCAGGAGAGCTGTTTCCCCGTGTCCAGCAAAGCTCACTGTCCTCTGGCTCTAGCTTCTAGCAAGAAAATGTATTTCCCAAAATATCAAACTGTATCAAAGTATTTACTTTAAGTGCTGAGAACCAAGTAAATCTTTCTCTACTGAAATACATCAGTAAATAAAGAGTCTGGTGCATAGTGATAATGAGGTATTTGATTACATGTATCTGAAATTCAAATGGAAACAAAATGGTAGCCCTAAAACACAAAGTCTGTTCAAGTGAACTAAGTCTCTTACTTCTTTTAATAAGAGGATTAACACTAAACAACAACTAATTATTCATGTTTTTTGATGGTCAAATAGTTTGTTTGTTTTTTTTTACTCAGAGTAAAGCAAGCCTCAAATTTTAATGGTCAAAAAATAACAGATTGTGTCTTTATAGATTCCTGTTTCCCAGAATGACTTTTGTCATCTTCTTTACCTTGTCACTTGTCCTTGGCCTTTTTTGTTGTTGCAGTGAAGAAGCTGCTACAAGGCAAGAGTGTAGCTGTCAACTCTACCTGCAGAAAATATTTGAATAAGTACAAGGACAGAATAAATTAATCACTGAATTCTGATTAGGTTTGAATTTGGGCTGTTTTTGTGGGTTATTCCTCCTCTCTCTAATTTTCTGTCTCCTTTTCTGTCTGTTTCAGAGCTCCTCGGAGCAACAAAGAGGGTGAATGTCAACATCCAGGATGCAGATGGGTGAGGGACTACAACACGTTTATCTCATGCTCTCCTGCCATCACTCGACATCCTTATCGCACCTCTTCATATTGACCCTTTCGATTCTTTTCAGAGGACTAAAAATCGGTATTATTAATTAAACTACATATGGTCTCCCTGAAGAGAAAAGACTTTTACACAGACTGTTCTAGGCAGGAATGTCGTTTTATTCTGCCTTCCCGTTCTGTATAAAAGGTACAAATACAGAAACGGGGACACTGTTGTTCCGCCTTTATTCCGCCTTTAGTCACAGAGCTGAAATGACATTGGTGCAAAAGGGAGAGCCAGCATGGTGGGACAGACACAGACACTGTTTTGTTACATGTCATGCCTGACTCCGGTATACTATCTAAAATCACACAGAGGAGCAGCAGCATTACATCGGCTTTGTTTGGTTGCAGGGGTCGTCTTAGCGGCAATGTAGCAGGATCTCTGTATAAAAGGGGCTCTTGTTTGCTGTGTGATTTAGGTGAGACTGAAGACTAAGTTTAGATTTTATTGTTTATTATAGGATGATTTAACGGCTTCACCATTTAGTAAATTGTAATTCTAATGAATTGTACTGGATGAATGATTAGATGAAGCTTTTTGTGTGTTTGATTTTATTAGCAGAGCTTGGGACAGAAGGCAAAGTTCTTTGTTTGCAATGCAAAGACAGAAGTTATGTTTGTGTTTGACAAATGTTTCACCACTACAACAGTATTTTATTTAGTGTCCTGTGAGTCCATGCGGGCTACACAGCTGGATCCTTGAATTGATATTGCATTAGACTTATTCAGATTTGTAATTAGATTCTAAACATTTTTTTCCACTAGTGAAAAATGTTATGGGACACAGCATTTCATATATTTTGTATGAAATTAATCAATAATCAATAGGCTAATTCTGCATCTTTAAGACTCTAAAAACCCCTTGAATGAAACAGAAAAAAATCACTTCCCAATTGGTGGGACTGGTCGCAGCTCACGTCCACTCTCAGGCCAGAGCCTGTGACATGGTCACAAGTAGACCCCCAAAATGTTGGGGAGCCACTGTTTTGGAAGTACTTCAGAAGTGAGGTTAGAAGTGTCCTTCAAACTCACATCTCTGATTAAATCCATGAAACAAGAAAACATCCTCAAAACTGGAGCAAACCGCCAAACTCCTTCGAATCCCAGAGAAGCTGACCCACCTTTTGATCATCCAACTGACAGCGACAAGTAAAAAGGCAAAAAAAAAATCTGTTCATTATGAATGTACTATCAACCATATCACAATACACATTACCCCCTGCTTAAAACTGTCTTTGAAACATGTAGCCAGCTGTAGGAGCTCAAATCTAAAGACTAATTACCTTAAAACAAAGCCAACATTTTCAGCTTTTAAATTTGCTCAGAGCTGTTGTTGTATCAACTCTGAATATACAACTATGGATTTTGGCTATATTTAGACTTGTGATGTATGTTTCATATGAGCGGTCTGTGTGCACATGCTTGGTTAGCGATTGTGTTTCATTTGGCTCCATCAGAAAACAAAGATATTTTTATGAAGCTGATTGGAATCAGATAATTGGACCCAAGTCCTTGCGTAATGACTGTTGATTCGTTGATTTGACTACAGGGCCCAGCCCTTAAAGTCACCAGGGATCCATTAGCCACACATACACACACACACACACACACACACACACAGGCCTGCTGTGTGTACGCTCGGCTCGGGGCTAGAGAGATTGCTTATTAATGGAAGTAGGTCATTTGCCCCCTCCCGTCGCTCACACAGAGCTGAGGGGCGGAGCTGCTCTACGCTGAAGATTATTTCAGCAAAGTTATGCTCTGGTTTTACACTACGTATATAAATATGTGTATTTTTATAAATAATCTGTGTCTGTGTGAAGGTTGTCACCGCTGCACCATGCTGCTCTGAGTGGTAACAAGGATCTGATCTCTCTGTTGTTGGAGGCCCAGGCAGCAGTGGATATTAAAGACCACAAAGGTAAGAATATACACAGATTTCTAGTGTCCTTACAACTCCCTATGTTACTATGAAAGTCACAAAACATACAAGGCAGGCTAAACAGCAAAACAATCACAACAAAAAAGGGAAGCAAATACATGGTCATGGAGGGGAAAGCCAGGAACAACAATACTTTTATGTAACAAAAGGTGAGCATGTTGGAAATGCAATAAAACAAATTCTCTGTGTAGTATAAAGTTTTTATGAGACATGACAGATTTGTTTGCTAAGCAAACAATAGACAATAAAAGAGGAATGCTTCATGGCTGCAGGAATAAGAGCCAAGTGGAAGCAGAGCAGCCCAGATTTCCCTTTTAACCCAGAAAACAACTCCTTCCCAACTGGCAGATTCCAGAAGAAGAAATCTCAGGGCAGATGGGAGATATAATCCCTCCAGGATGTAGGGCTTCTACACTCCCAGTCAGTCATGCCCAGTATGTCTCTAAATATAGGCATACACCTGGCAGGCATCCTTACCAGGTGGTCCCAGTTCCTCAATGGGTTTTTCTCCATGGAGGTGGTGGGGAACCCTCAAATGATTCTTTCCATACCTAACTAACAGAAAAGTCTCGAGTCTTGCGTTAAAAGAACTGAGAGTTGAAGCAGAACAGTTTTCTGGGAATCTGTTCCAGATATGCAGTGCACAAAAACTGAATGCTGCTTCTCCATTTTTTGTTTAGACACTGGGAACGGTAACCGAGCCTGTACAATCAGAGAAGTCCGGACAGTTCATAACATCACAGCAGAAACTATTCTTTCCTTTGTAAACCAACAGTAGAATTTTTAAAGTCCATTCTTTGACACACGGCTGGCAGCTGTTTTCTGATAATCCAACTATTACACTACGTAGCCAGCACCAAAAGGTCAGACAAAGTTAGCAAACAGCTGGTGACCGTGCTAGCTGGTTGAAGATTTCCCCGAGAGTTGGTGGAGACCAAAACAGAGTTAAAAGAGAGTGAGCATTGGTTTTACATTTATCAGATGGCCATAAACTCACCTCAAAATGAATGCTAATACTTCTCTGTATCAGCTGGGTGTGTGAATTTTCAACTGTTTACTAACAAGTAAGCCATACAACTTGTCTAAGATCCAGTGAAAAAATGTTTCTGTGCAAGAAGCCAGCCTAAGATTACTGGTCTGGACTTCCTGCAGGCCTGAGCTGAACAGGCCTGTATTGATATCCAAAAAAAAAAAAATCAGAAACAGGAAAGGGCTGCAATCAACTATGCGTAAAGTAACTCTGAGAGAACAGTTCTGGGAACACAGTTTAGGGTATTTCCAATAACAGACAACCCATTTAGTTGGGAGTATCAAGTTTCTGTGAGACCCTCATTGTTATCAGTACACAAATATCAAATATGACAACGTAATTATTCATATTGCCCCTCCTTAATTTGAGAATGTAGTTTTCTCAACATTGTATATCATGACCACCACCAGCTTCCAAATAAAACACATGACATATAACTCAAAATATCTCAACAACATAAATTTCAGAAATTCAGGATGCACAGTCCTCTTTTGTCTTATCAAATAAAAACACGTCCTAGAAGCTCGTTCATGTCCCCTCATCATATACTCAGGCTTTAACTTCTGAAACTCCTGCAGCTGCTGTGCCTCTTTATTCTGCCAGCACCTCTCTTCTGAGTCAGGACTCCCTCATGCAAACTGAACCTTGAGGGTCTCTTTAGTCAGCTTGATGATGTGGCTCATCACTGGTATCAAGACTGGGGGCCCCTGGGTTGCTGCCATGAGAAACATGCTCACTACACCTTGCAGCTGCTGCTACAAAGCAGCATTTAATGTCTCCTGGTTAGAGGCACTGATGAATGACTCTGCAGTGCATCTTTGTGCTGTTCTCACCTGAGCTTTGCATTATCTTGCATTTCCTGCATGTTTTCCAGGAATGAGCTGGACTGTCCAGTCCCCTGCAATGTTCTCTTAGGTCTTGTTTAGCCACATACTGCAGGGGTTTTCTCGTCTTGCCCTTTGTCCAAAAGCAGTTTGTCTCAGATGTCCCATGAGCATGATGCTTGCAATACTCCTCGGGTCACAAGGGGTCACAAGCGTGTCAAAGAGAATGAGATTGAATTTCCAGGACGGGCACTGGGAGTCTGTGCCTAAAGCTTTTGCTACAGCTATTACAGAAATGTCTGCAAAAATTACACTCACATTAGGGCTCCAACTTTTAATTAATCTACTGATTGTTTTCCCTATTCATCCATTAATTTATATATTGCCAGAAAATAGAAAAAATGTCAATCATAAATTTACTGAGACCATGGTGACGTCCAAAAATGTCCAACCAACAGTCCGAGACCCACTGTCATACATAGAAAATAAAAAATTATCAGTATAGTTGCTGATTAATTTTCTGACTATCAACTAATTGCTCCAGCCCTAATGCATATATCTATTTTCAAATGTCACTTAGAGTTTAATTAGTTCTTACAGAGTAATAGGCACACTAGAGTAAATTAGTGATGAGAACAATTGAGTTCAGTGATTCTTTTGTAAAATGCCTTGAGAAAATCAGAGGTATTGTTTTTGCTTACTGGATAAACTGGTCTGTAAAAATAAAATAATTTAGCGTGTATTTGCATGTATTCATGTGTCTTTATATTCAAATTTTTGTATGTATCCATGCTCGTGGGGTCTGTGTGTGTGTGTGTGTGTGTGTGTGTGTGTAGGGATGCGTCCTCTGCATTATGCTGCATGGCAGGGGAAGACTGAGCCAATGAAAATGCTGCTGAAGGCTGGGTCGTCAGTCAACGGGCAGTCAGATGAAGGACAGATCCCTCTCCACCTATCAGCTCAGCATGGACACTACGATGGGGTATGTGTGTGTGTGTGTGTGTGTGTGTGTGTGTGTGTGTGTGTGTGTGTGTGTGTGTGTGTGTGTGTATAGTGGCCATGTGTCTGTTTTTGTTAGGTGTGTTTATCTGTTATGTGATGCATGCATGATTTGTGGTTGTTACAAGCTACAGAATTCAGTGCCAGTAAGATGTTTGTTTGTGTGTGTGTGTGTGTGTGTGTGTGTTACAGTCAGAGATGTTGCTGCAACACCAGTCCAACCCGTGTATCTCAGACGCAGCAGGGAAAACGCCATTGGACCTCGCCTGTGAATTTGGACGTGTCGGAGTGAGTAGATTTGACTGCAAGCTAAATTTGTACTTCTAGTGATTGTATTTAGGCTTCAAATATCATAAAAGTGTTTATTATCATCCTACTGAACAAAACGTGAAAGTAAGTATCATAAACTTTTGTTTGTCACAGAGCTTATTTTCTGTAGTAATCCAAAAGCCAATGTAAAAAACCATTGGCTTTTTGTCGAGGGAACCAGACTCAGGTTGGCCTACAAAGATACGTCATCCCTGTGTCACTCTATCGACATTAAAAATATTTTTTTGTGCCTTCGCCAAGATAGTCAAGATAAATTACACCTTGATGTTATAATACTTAAGTTATTAGTCCTTAAACTGCAATTTAATACTACAAACAGTCCTTGAGCAGCTGCTTTGACAGAAATACCAGTCGTTTCCTCACAACAGCAAGGTGCAGGAAAGGTTGTTGTCTTGCTGAAGAGTTGGAAGTGTGCAGTCTGCATCCTGCATCTAACAGCTCGCTGTGGTGGCCCCTTTTTTTCATGACTTCCTGCAATATCTGATCCACTGACAAAAAAATGCAGAAAACAATGTGTGTACAAAACAACCCATTTTGACGGGGTCATTGTTTTAGTTTTGCAGGTGCTTTTTTGATGAATGATTGTTGTATCCGTTTCCTGAGACTGTTTTGCAATAAAAGTGATACCAGTATCGTAATGCAGTGTTAGGAAAGTGAACATTAAACGGTGTAGAAAATGTCGGTAGGACAGAAGGAGTGACAGGGGCACTCCTGGGTAACCGAATGGGTGGAGCACATGCAACATTATGGCAATGCCTGCAGTTTGAACCTAAACTGTGTTGTCAAACCCTCTCTCTCTCTCCCCTACTGTCCTGTCTGCCTCTTTGCCCTCAACTGTTCAATAAAGGCAAAAATAACCCAAAATAAAATCAAATTTACAAAAAAAAAAAAAAAAAGGAAAAATTAAAAACAGTTTGCATCATATCCTATGAATCCCTCATTGCGTTTGCAAGCAATTTTAACCCCAAGGCAAGAATGGCAATGTAATAAATGTTACATAAAAATTTTTTTTTTACTGGTGTGGACTTTTGGAACTGGTCATAAAAAAATAGTCCATGTTGCAGGTGTTCTATATGTATAACTTTAAGCTGTATATCTGTCTGTTTTTAAGGTGGTCCAGCTCCTGCTCAGCAGCAACATGTGTGCGGCCATGCTGGAACCGAAACCCTCCGACCCCAACGGAGTGTCACCTCTGCATCTCGCTGCCAAGAACGGCCACATCGACGTCATACGGTCTGACAAACTTGTCCTTTCAGTCTGCGTCTCTCAGTGTGTGTCTGTCTGCATGCCTACCGGTCGGTCAGTCAGCCAGTCCACCGGATAGCCTGATCTAATCTAACCTCAACTCCAGGGTCTCGATAATGAAATAAACATCTGTTAATTCTACAATGTTCTTTTTTGTTTTGACTTGACTTTCCTTTTTCATTTCCTTTTTTGTTATCTTGTATAATTAATTTATAAAAGACGCTGTATAAATAAAGGCTAATATGATTGTTATCTTGTACTGCAGGTTGCTGATTCAGGCTGGTATAGATATCAACAGACAGTCTGAGTCTGGCACAGCGCTACATCAGGCCGCCCTCTGTGGGAAGACCGAGGTAGTACGCCTGCTGCTGGATGTAAGTCTATCTGTCTGTCTCTCTGTCTGTCTCTCTGTCTGTCTGTTTAATGTGTTTACATAAGCAACTGTTGTTAAAGCTGGCTCCCTCTTCTCAGCTGAGCAAGTTTACACCTAAGCACTTGTCATTCATCCCACAAAGCTTTGTGATGAGCCCTGTGTGTCATGTTAGCCTGTTACACAAAGGTGTAGCTGACTGGTAAGCACTCTACCTGTCATGCAATATTCAAACCAGCTGTGTTTTGTTTTTCAATCCTTGTCTCACCTTCAGATGAATAAGAATGCTGATGCTTACGCTTGCCTTTGAACAGGGCCAGCCTTCAGTGCTCTCTCTTATTCTGCTGTATTTCACTTTTGATTTTATTGCTGAGGCAGCACTCACAACAAATGTTAGCAGCAGGCATGTACACACAGCCAAACTGACACTGAATCATTGTCAAACAGGCCTACTGGACACAGGCTCAGGACCCTTGGGCCAGAGCATCTGTGCAAAGCAACTGTTAATATGTCTTGTTTGAAAGTCACAAAGCTCAGTTAAAAGACACAGAATAACCATAAGGGATGCAAAACAATCCCAAAAACACTCAAAAAAACATAAAAAGACACACAACTAGTACAAAGAGATGACCACAAAAAAGGCTTAACTACTACAAAGAGACACATAATAACCACAGAGTGCCACTACCAAAAAGGTGATGAACAATAAACTAAGAGTTGCAAAATAACTTCAAAGACACACAAAACAACTGCAAAGAGATGAAAAAACTACCAAAAAGAGACACAAAATGACACATTTTATGTCTCTTTCAGGTTTGGGCTCCTATATAGGAGCAGTGACAGACTCATTTTCTCCAAATCTGCAGCAAATACACAGTATATCTCTATTATGAACTCAATGTGACACGATTTCATGCTGCAGCTTTAAAAGGGACAAATTCTGCTAAAACCCTCTCCCACATATTTATTTATTTTCATTGTCATCTCATTTTCTCCTCCACTTGTATACAGAGTGGCATCAGTGCAGGAGTGAGAAACACTCTGAGTCAAACTGCCCTGGACATTGTGAACCAGTTCACTACCACACAGGCCAGCCGAGAGATCAAACAACTACTGAGAGGTTAGTGCAGTTACACACATTTTTTACTCCTTCTTGAAGCAGTGGGCAATAGCACAAAATATGTTTCCAATATCATTCAATACCAACTTATATAAGTGTCAAAATCACTACTTTCAAAACTCGTACCGTAATACGTAGTGTGCTCTGTAGGGGAGGGTGTTCAGATATATGGAGGTGAATGCATGATTAATCGGTGAACTCTGAATGTGCAGTCCTTACATTACCACCATCACCAAACTTGCCAAACAATAAGCATTTCTTTTTACTATACTGTGTTGCTTAATTACACGCATTTGAAAAGGCAGGAGAAATTTCACTGGTAATTGACAATATTATTTACTGTGTGAATTTTTCCGATCAAGCGTGCATGGCACATTTCCACACTTGATGAAGAGAAGCAAATAGTGAACGCACCAAGAGCAATGTTTATGTTCCTAGAATATGATCTAACCTGAGATAGATCTGTTTATTTTGTTTTGTTTTGAGTTTCCTTGTATCAGTCCTATTGACACTTATATTGATACTCAAAACAAGACTAACTATCAGTACTATTGATTCTTTAAGTATCGATCTGCCCACCTCTACAGTCCTCCTTCTCCATGCTCATCTGTTCCCACTTCATTTCTGCTCATTTGAAAATCTCTGTGCTGTGCTCTTATCCACTACTTAAGCTCATTAGCCTCTGCAGCTCACTCATACTACACTCCTGTCTTGCAGATGCTTCGGCTGCAATGCAGGTGAGAGCACTGAAGGACTACTGCAACAACTACGACCTAACCAGCCTCAACATCAAAGCTGGAGACATTATCACGGTACACAGATCTGATAATAGTCCCCAATTATTAACCTATTCTCAAAGTCCTGCATGTCTACAGTACAGAACTGAAATGCAGCAAATATGCAATATTTTGTAATTATATTATTTATAGATGCACATAGACATACAAACAAAGTTTTATACTTGGAAATAACTTTTGTAGTCTTTCCTCGATTCTTGTGTGCTTGTTTTATACTTGTGAGTCTGGGGTCAGAAGGTAGGGTCACAGTTTCCGAAGGTCTGCATCACAATTTCTTTCTTGATCTGTGTCAAGAATTGACCTGTACCTTGACATAAAAAATAAAATATTGTATCCAGTCACGTTAACTGCTAACTGAAGTAAATAACTGACAGAGCTAATGTTAGCTTGCTAATATATGACCCATTTAGATTGAAGAGTAAATGAGGTCATGGACAACGGTCACACAGTATCTGATGTGACACTTGATAAAATACTGTTTTATAACTTTGTAAACTGATTTTTTTTAAAAAAATACTCCATAAAAATAACACTGTATACCTTAAAAAAAAAAAAAAGTTATGCTAATAAAATTATCTAGATAAGCTAGATGAATAAATAGTGTTAGTTTGTCTTAGCTTAATTCTGTCACTGCCACAAGACCAACAGCATCTCAGACCCAAAAAAAACCCGCTCCGTCGGCCACACCCCGCTCCCCCCAAGTTATGAAGCCCAGTGACAGCCGCCACTAAATACACAACAAGAAGCACTACTGTATAAAGTTACCCTTCGTACACATGAGCCAACAAAAACCATCCAGCGTAAACATTAGCCCCGCGCTTGTACAACTGCGATATGCTTCGGCAATGCTGGCACTAAGCTAGCTAGATAGCAACATTTGCCGAACAAATTCACAATATGGATAACAGCAAGTTAGCTAACATAGTCATGGCTATTGTAGCCGGTCACTAATGAAAACAGATAAGTAACATTACGTAGCCATTACGTACGTTACTTACACATCAAGGAGAAGAAAATCAGGGTCCAAATCAAGCTGGAGCTCTTCAGCAGCTCCTATGATCGCCATCTTGATAAGGTCAAACAGGGAAACGAGTTCAGCCTTGGACTTATCAGCCGGAAACAGCCAGTCCGCCTGTGCTTTGGTCTTATCTCTTTCATTGTCAGAGGCCTTTTTAGACGGAAAACATGGTTTCTTTAGAGGAGGAAATTCTGGAAGGAGGCTTCCACCTGAAAGGTGCTCACTTCACGGTGCCATCTTGCGTGTGGGCGGTCCCTGTGTTTTTAAACACGGGGAGGACCAATGACCGGATACCAAAACATAGACATAGAACAGAGAAACTCAGACTACAACACGAGGAAAGGCTGTGACTTCATTCTGTGCTCGGGAGGCCTTTACTCCACTGTATATTTATATAGAAAATAGTTGCTTGCTGTTATATCAATGTTTAAAATCTTATTTACGGAACCTTTAGAAATAGATCTAACTAATTAACATTTTAATGCTGCTCCCCTTTTTTTTTTTTTTTAGCTTGAAACTAGCTAGTTCTATCAATTTGTTTATGTTTAGCTTGTGGAGCCAAATTCAGTTATTGTCTTGGAGGCATTAACATTATAATCTTTGTAAACTGTATTTGTGTGTTGACAGGTTTTGGAGCAGCACTCAGATGGTCGATGGAAGGGTTGTATTCATGACAACCGCACAGGAAATGACCGTGTGGGGTATTTTCCCTCCAACATGGTGGAAGTCATCAAGAGGGCAGGTGACCACCCATTTCACAGCTGTGTGTGTTTTTGTGTATGAGTGGGAGGATGTGTGAACGTGCTTTCACATGTGTGTGAGTTCAGCAGCTGTTCTGTAGCTATAGCTGATCATTAGTTGGAGCTAGCTGCAGCATCATCGGCCTCTTCAGACAGCCCATCTGTTTTCCCAACCTGTCAATCATCTCCATTGGTCATACCGTCCCCTGCTGGGGATTGGCTGACCCTCCTCCCTCTTCCCTTCCTCTGTATATCTGCTCCTTCTGTCACCCTCCCTATTTAATAACCCTTTCTAACCAACCTGCTCTGCTAGATTGTTCTGCTTTTGTTCATATTGTTTGTTTGCTTTGTTGCTGTAGTGATATTATATTTTAATTTATAGAGATATATTCCCTGTGGATATATGGATGTATTCTTTTCTCATATTTTGATTTTAATCAGTTATTATTTTATACATTTTCAGATCTGATTAGATTTGTTTTGTTTCAAGTTGACTGATCAGTTGTTGTTGTGTTGTTGTTGTTGTTTTGCACCTCTCTCCTCCTGGCTCATGTCCAGGTCACTCCCCCTCCCAGCAGTGCCACACCCTCCTGCTCCGTAGGCCCAACCCCTGTCCCATTGCCTCGGTCAACGGACACTCATACCCCCCCTCCAAAGTCCTCCCCCTGCATCTGCCTCCCCCTCCACCCCCTCACCCCAACACACAGTCCCTCCCTCGGTTCTCCTCCTTTGGGTACGTTCCTCTTCCCATCTCTCCACCTTCTCTGTCTACTCCTCCTCTGTCCACTCCTCCTCCTCCTCCTCCTCCTCTCTCCACTTCTCAGGAGCAGCAGAGTCAGACAGGTACATACTGTAGTGTCACTTTAAATCACAGTTAAGCATCCTTTCCACACTGTTTGACAAGACCACATATAGAATATACTGTATTATCTATCTGCTTGTTCCAACATACTCTGTACATAGTCATATATACAGTATATATATACAGTATATATAATTTATAGATCAAAATTTCATAGTTAGTTTACTATATAAACTAAATACTTTACTATAGAAAACTAAATAAGAGATTTTGATTTTGAAATTTCCCAAAACATGTTTTCACTTAGTCATTGTGGATTATTGAGTGTAGGCTCATGGGCAGAAATGTCAATCTTAACCATTTGAAATGAAATCTACGATACAATAAAGGTTGCACAAGGTGAAGGGATCTTAATACTTTCTTAAGCCTCTGTATTAAAGGATCAGTTCACCCAAATGACAAAAAGGTATATATTCCCCCTTACTCATAGTTTTTAAAACATAATTTTACTATGTGGCGTTCTTCTAATTTGTGTGAACTGAGCCTTTTCAGTCTTTTATAACTTCACATACCGTACATGTTATAGAAAATTTAAGAGGCATTATTTACCATTTTATAGACATTTTCCTGTGATTTAGCTTGAAATACCACATATAACTGGATGTGTTTTTTTTAAATAAATGCTGTTTGGTGTTTTGAGCAGTGCTTGCATGCACAATATTTGTTAGTATTGTGCAAGCACACAATGATGAACCTGCCTAAGGGTTTGTAGGGTTTTACAAGTCTCAAAATTATTAGCACTAAAAGGTGGTGCAACCACTATGAGTAATGTGTTTATGAATGTGTAGGTGAGTGAGTGTACCTTTGTGAGAACCTGTGTTCTTGATGGTGTTTATTTAAGAGTTAAATAGATTTATATATGAAACAATATGTCACATATTATCATAGGGGTCTGTGTAGCTGTTAATCAGTTTTTGTTTTTAAGAACATCCTCCAAAATTACATGACTAAAATAGTGGACATAACAAGCATGTGTGTGTGTGTGTGTGTGTCTGCATGTGTGTGTGCGAGACAGGTTCGCGAACTGCAGAGCTGAGTCCTCAAGGCTCTCCTACCCTAGGACAACAGAGTAGCACCAGTGAGGATATCTGGGTGCTACGCAAACCGCTGGCAGGTAAACTGTGTTTTTGGGTAACAATGTAAAACTACATATGCAAGGACTGTTCTTTGTATAATGCGGCATCCTGCAATGTATGTGTTTGTGTTTGTGTTTGGAGGTGGCGAGCGCAGTGGCAGTGTGGGCAGTCTCGGCAGTGTTCGGTCATCAAGCAGCTTGCAGAGCTCTGGAAACACACATGTTCTGACCACCCCTGCACCCAGTCCACACCCTGCGCCCACACCAGGCGTCAACACACATGGCCTTAACGCTCCAGGCCTGCACGCACAAGCCGAAGGGGTAAAGGTGAGAGAGTGTTTACACCTCACATTGCTACTGGATCTTTACAGAACAAAAAACATGTCATTTCTGGGAAATACCAAAGCATTCTCAGGAAACAAACACAACTCTAGTTACCAAGTTAACCACAAATCAGTTTCCTGCTCAGTTTGTCCTTCCGCTTTGCTTTTGCTTTTGCTTTCTTTTAGCAGTAGGCCACAGGTGCAATACGATAATGGCCTTGTGGTTTGTCCTTTTTTATCAAATACTCAGTAAAATAAAGCCTGTAAATGCCAGCATCAACATGTCTCTCTAGATAAACTATAACAGCTAAATTCTACCGACACCATATCTTTTTATATCCTCACCAGACCTCACCTCTCATTTCTGTTAGACTAGTTATGTTAGATTGTGTAAGCATCTCTTAAAATGATGCATTAAATTCAACACAGGTGTTTGAACAGTGAGTTGTCCTAAACTACAAACTCAAATTAGAGTTTTAGCAACAAACACAACACAAACTTGCTAACTTGGATAGATACAGGGTTTCTTTTTGGTGCATTTTATTGTCTAAGTATTTTTTTTCTTCCATTGTCTAGTGTGCTTTCATATTATAATCTGTGATATCATGCACCCTGCAGGTCAGTTCTCTAACAGCTTCAGTGCATTCTAAATTTAATTTTATCACTGAATATAACTAGTCTGTTTTAGGTAATAATTAGGTAATAAAAATACTGCATTAGCAAAAGCATTTAGCAATTAGCCAAACTGGATGTTATTCCCATATTATGCTGGAGAGACATAATCTGTTTTAAGAAGTATTCATTGTAGGATTTCAGTGACGGCAGTTTTGGTAAATTGCAGAAATGCAAGAGGAAGAGGGACTCAAGCCAAAATCTGTCCGTTACATGTGCACTCAGCTGAGTCACATGGCACTTCTGGTTTTGAATGATTATGCTTGAGTAAATGTTTCATTTCGTGAGCGTGCGTGCCCATGTGCATGTGTGTATGACCATGTTTGTGTGTGTGTTTTAGCTCCTGGCCACCGTGCTTTCCCAGTCAGTTAAAGCCAAGGAGCATCTCTTGGAGCAGTCGCAGTCCGTTGAGCAGTCAGCGAGTAAGCTCACACGCTCATCCAAACACAACATAAAAGCAAAATCTTTGGCTTAATTTGAACTGATGACCTGTGTCATGTTTCATTGAACTTAAAGGTCTGTCTCACTGCAGCCTGCTGCTACTTGATCACAGCAGTGATACTCTAGAGATACAGATAATAAAGTTTTGTCTTCTCTTGCTAATAAAAGCATTAGAACGAGTGATCTAGTTACTCAAAAAAGACATTCTGTCTGTAGGAAAGTAATAACAACTCAAAAAGATCAAAGTGGTGTTCTCTATAATGGTTTATTTGGATTGCTGCTTTTATTAATTATTTTTCTTCATTTCACTTTTAGTCAACCTGACCCTTTAAAGACCACCTGTCTGTTCATATCAGACACAAGCAGCATTTCCTCTGGCCTTCTACAAGTTATGCTTTATTTATAAAAGCTGAAAACCAGCTGCGGACGGGTCGCTCTTTCTTGGCATAAATTCTTTTTGGCTGTCAGGAATTTGTGTGTTTTATGTTTTAGCCGCAATAACAAAGATTTGCTTGAAATAAACAAAATTAAAATTAAAAATTAAAAAGACAAATGCTTCAGTGTAACATCTAAAGAAAAAAACATGAAAAGAAAAGGGCATGTACAGTGGGATTATGTAGGGTCAACACTGGCCTTAGAATGAAAAGCACTCAACCTACCCAAACTAAATATGGCCTATATTGAATTGAACTGAACTTTGATTTCATTGGATCAGGGCCCACTTGTAACTTCTGAACATTTTTCCTGACAAGGCATTTACAAATTTACACCACCAGCTGCATTCTTGTCATTGGTTTAGAAGTTGCTTGGGGCTACAAAAAGTGGTGTAGATAGAATAAGTTTATAAAACATGTTTGATGTGTTTGTATAGACATAAAGTATATAAGACATTTATATGGTGTTTAAATTTGGGCACTGTGCTTGTAGTTGATTTACTAATCTCAGTTTGAAAGAAGCATATAAATTATCATATTTTAATATGATGTAATCTGCTGTTGTCTGTTTAAGGGATATGTGAGGAAAAAGCCAGCCAAGCATGAAAGCTGTTTCCAAATTATTATGAATACATACATAGAATATATACGTACATATAAACCTGACTGATAAAACCTGATTTAATTTCTCCACTGCTTCTCAAGACTGCACTTGATCACCAGATAACATCATTTCTTGGCTTTGCAGCATTTTCCTGGTTCTTTAGTTTATTCATTGTTTTCGAGAGCAGACTTCAAGTTCACAAGAAGCTGTTCTTTTCATAATAATTATCTAGAAATAACTGTTCCATATAATTACATGTTCGATTGTAGGTAATCATTAGTTAAAAGTAAACTCGTTCTAAGAAATCATTAAGAAACTAAAGGAAACAAAAGCTCTGCCAAGACAAGCATTTTATAAATAACAAATCTGATACATACTGTATATCTACATGCAATAAAAAACTGTCATGTGACATTACTGTGTAGATCTTACTGAGGGCTAAGGGCAATTCGGGACACTTTAGATTTAAAGTGCATTTATACCAATTATGGATAATTCTTTATGTAAAAATACATTTTGTGAAATAACAAAACTGTCCTTTACTGAGAAAAATAATATATTTCATTGCTTTTCCCTCCTTTTTCTTTCCATTGTCTCGCCTGTCCACCTCCACCCCAAGGCTCTTCCAGTTCCGCAGTCCATGAACAACGGTCATTTGAGCGGAAGGCAGAGGAGGATGATGGGAAAGTGAGTTTTTGAATGGCAGATTGGTCCGTGGACTCCACTCTCTGTTGCTTCTGTTTCTTCTCAACCAACGCTTTGGTTTGGGAGAGAGACATCTACACGGGTGGGGTTCAGGCAGTGGGCACAGTGAGGTGTCTATCCGGGCGGTTGTGTTGCACCTGAACAGATGACACCGTGAGGATGGGCATGCGAGTGTGTCGTCATGGAGACAGGCAGAGTGACAGACACACTGAGATGTCAGTTGCTGTCTTGCCTTCTGTCCCTCCACCCACCCCCTGTCCTCGCACCACACTGAGACACCAGACACCCACATTCTGCCGCTCTGCTCTAGAACCTGCCAGCAGCTCTGTGTGTTCTGTGACGCTGAGGGTTCAATTCTCTCTGTGTGTTCTAGAATCAATAGATGCCACATTCTAGAATCAAGCATTTCCTGGTTGCCAGGCGACAGCAGTGTTCTGTTATAGAAGCAAATGCAGTTCTTAGTGTGTTCTCATTGGTTGATCTCATGCAACATTCTCTAACACTAAAGTCATTCATAAAATATAGCATGTCATTTTCTAGTTCAACCTTTAAAGGGTTGGTTGACCCAAATTATGAAAACATTATGTTCCATTTACCCTTAGTGGTATCTAGCCATACTGGGAGTTTCATTTGCAGGAGTCTTTAAATCTTCACCGCTGATAATCCTACCTCCACTACATACAAGGTATACAGGCATACAGGTAAATTGATAATTATTTGTGGTGCTCAAATGTCTTCTCCCTCTGTCTACACGGTAAGTGTCCATCATCAAAACAGTTAGCCTAAAAAATTTCTCCAAATGTGTGCCTTCGGACAAAAGCAATGTAATGTTTCAGTGGCTTGAACACCATGAATGAGATTTGTTTTACCTCCATTGTGGTGTCAGGAGTCTCAGCGGCAGAGATCTCAAAAGTTTTGCAAATAAATCTGCATGGCTGAATTACAAACAGTACTGTTTGGGAGTACTGTGAAAATCCACTGTATTATTCCTTTATGCATATTTTAGTGGCAGTATTTTTGAAACAGTTGTGTTTTGTTTTTTTTATCATAAATGTAGGCAGTGTCGTTCTTTGAATTTGTGCCGGCATTGTGCACCTTGGAAGTACTGCAGGACTATTGTTCTATAAGCTGAAGACAAAGCTGTAGCTCTGTGTTTTATACTCTGCTTTATAGAACAGGTCTCTATCACGTGTTCCAGAACAGGTTCCCATTCTTTGCTGGTAAAACTAGATTTTGTTGTAGAGCAGGGGTGCATTCTGGAATTACAATGGAAGTCTCTGTGCTGTTTTCTAGAACAGTCTTCTCTCCTGTGTTCTAGAACAGGCTCCTATGCTGTGTTCTAGAACAGGCTCCTATGCTGTGTTCTAGAACAGGTGTGTGTTCTGTGCTCTAGAAGAACCCCGTGGACTCTTCTAGAAGCAGGCAGTAGTGTTCTGTGCTCTGTGTTCTAGAAGCAGGCAGTAGTGGCGTGGCTGGGTGAGTTTCAGCTGCAGTTCTACACCACCCACTTCCTCACCGCGGGATATGATCTAGACACCATTAGCCGCATGACCCCTGAGGTAAGGTCATGACCCCTGACCCCCTCACGCCCCGCCCCTTGTCTGTCAAGGCTCCGCCCAGCTCAGCTCTCAAATCAGCTCCCCACTGACCTGGATGATGTCATCATGACCCTCCTGTCTCTGTCACCTGACCCCCCCGGTGTGAGTCCTGAGCCTCAGCCAGTCACTCCTCATACTCTGTCTGCTTCATTTACATACCTGTGTTCACACATGGCCGTGTGTTCCAGTCTGTGCCGTAAACGCTACTCTGTGTTTGTCCTTGAGTGTGTTTGGAGTGCCATTGTGTGTGTGTGTGTGTGTGTGTGTGTGTGGGTATGTGTGCGCGTTTGTGCGAATGTACTGAAGCAGACACAGTGGTATGACATAAACCCCCTAAGGGCAGGGGACACTCATCAGAAGATTATCCAAAGCAAAATATTCCTGAAGGCTTATCACCCGCAGCTCATGTACAAATGTCAAACGTACGCATAAAATTGTTTACATTCAAAAGAAAAAAACCCACCTACTGTAGCTGTGTTGAATTCCTGATGTAACTCAGCGTGCTTTGTGTTGAAGGACCTGACGGCAATTGGGGTCATGAAGCCTGGACATCGAAAGAAGTTAACATCAGAGATCAGCAAGCTGCCCTCCACAGACTGGCTGCCAGACCACAAGCCTGTAAGGCTTTCATGTGTACTATACAAGCTAGAAAAAGGAGGAGATGTTGAGTTTTGGCAGCTGCTTGCACACAAGCATATACACATGCAGCTCTTACAGATTGCTAACGAAATATTTTGTCAGAAAAACAGTTCTATTCTGTATCTTCTGTAATCTGTGCACAAGGTTTTTACATTGGTGCCCGTGTTTGTGTGTCGCTGTGTGTGTGTTTTAGGCCAATCTGGCAGACTGGCTCTCCCACCTGGGTCTTAGTCAGTACTACCAAGTTCTGGTGCAAAATGGGTATGAAAACATTGACTTCATCTCTGACATCAGCCTTGAAGATCTGCAAGAGATTGGTATCACGAAACTCGGTAAGTTACAGCTACATTATAAAGACTCCAACAACAAAGCAACTAGAGGTATAGCGATTTTGATTTTGTTCATTTGATGTAAATCATAAGTATGATTTGAAATAAAAGAGTCATAAGTAGACTGTCAGGGCCAGACTCCAGCCTGTACACATGTTACTTTAAGAATCCCCTGTTACTGAAGGTTTTGTTCCACTTTACAACACATAGAAGAATTCAGTGCCATAATACTGTTGATATACTAGTTCTGTTATTGTGTCTGAAAGATTTGGACCTAGTTTATTCAGCCTCTCTGTGGTGATAATACTTGTCAACCAGAACATTCAATTTGTTTGCAGAATTAACCTTTTTAGTTCAAAATAAGGCAAATAAAATATAAATCTTTACAATTAAACAGAAATGAAGAGTTCCTATAACTATACAAACAAAACATTTAAACTGCATTTCAATGAAACTCAAAACACAAAAATAGCCTATAATAGCTTAATATAGTAGCTAATACTTACTTACTGTGTCCGGTGGCCTGATACTGGTCCACAGCCTGGGGATTGTGAACCTCTGGGTTAGATTTAATGATCATGCCTACTAGCGCAGTTTTCTGGGATATTTACTGTTTGGTTGTTACTTTTATTAAATAAACAACAGATACACTGGAATCTCTTCCAGCTTTGGAGTCCAAATATGTTTTCATTCTCTCTCTACCTCACAATAACGGTTCTCCTCCACACCACTGCCTCCCCTCAGGCCATCAGAAGAAACTGATGTTGGGAGTGAGGAGACTGAAGGAGCTACAGAGACGAGAAAGTGGTTCTGAGCCTCCTCAGAGCCCGTCTACACCTCCGTCCAGCCCAGGTGGCAGCACGGGCTCAGAGCCCCGGAGGGAGGCGAGGAAGCAGAGGGATGGTGCCCCCAGCCCACTGGCCAAACCTCGCCCAGGTCTCACACATTCACAGACCCCTCCCCATACACCGACACAAACCCCGCCACAAACTCCCCCACATGTCCGGACCCAGCAGGCCTCCCCCAGGGCCCGGCCGCGTCCCTCCACCCAGATGGCAGCAATAGATGCGTCAGTGCCGCTGCTTCGGCTGCCCAGCGAGGAGGAAGAGCGACGGAGAACTCACAGTCTTATTGGCTCAGAATCAGACTCTAGATACGCCACCGTGTGCCGCAGCAGCTCCGCACGTACTGCCGCCCCTAATGATGTCACTGTTAACCGTAGCCAATCATCCGTCACACTCCGTCCCCGTCGCAAAGGTCGGCCCCCAACACCACCTAAACGGTCTTGTTCTTCCATAACTGGGGGTGACGGGGAGGGAGAGGGACAGGGGGAGGGACTACTAGGGCTGCCAACCTATCGAGAGCGGCGAGCCAGTGACTGCGGCAGCCTGGGGTCAGCTTTAAGGGCTCAGGGCTCAGCAGGCCTGGAGAGATCAGAGGGGGCTTCTGGGAGTGTTCGCAGCCTTGCCGCCATGCTGGAAACATCCATCGTGGGTGGAGCCAAAACCCTGCCGAAGAATCTGGGAAGCAGCACCAACTACTTACAGGTGGGGGGTGTATGTGTTTGGTTTGGTCTTTGAGAGTTAATTTTTTTACTGGCAATATGTATGTGTAAATATCATGTGATCCCCAGGTGAGTCCACCGATACTTCGTCGCCAGGCAGGCGCAGGAGGTCTTGGATCTGAGGAGGATGATGCCAAAAGTCGGCGCAGAACCATCAGTGGACCAGAAGGCATCCCTGGTGATCAGACTGACCTGTTACCTCGGCAACCAGCCCAACAGCGTCCAGAGCCCAGGCCTCGATCCACCGTGGTCACCTCAACATCAGAGATCGCAGATGGCACGGTGACACTGCGAAGGAAGCCTCATCCCCTGGCAACAGACTCTAAAGCGCCTTCATCCGTGACTACCACTGTTGTTACCATGACAACCGGCTCTGAAACCATACGCAGGAGACCACGCACCGAGCACACAGATAGTGTCAGTCAAAGCAATAACCAATCAGACTCTCCCAGCAGTCAAACAGATAGTAGGAAAAACGGAGTTGAGGCGCAGCAAAACGGTGGCGTGGTCCTGAGGCGGAGGCCGGTGTCTGAGGTCTCTGACAAGACGGAGGCCAACAGAGAGAGCTGTGAGTGGATGGAGGCCAGGAAGTCTCTAAAGCCGGCGGTGTCACCCAAACCATCCTCAGTCACCCTGAGGAAGACACAAGCTGAACCCCCAACACCAACCCGCAGGGTCCCCATACCAGGGCCTGATAATACTGACGTGGCACGGAGCCCTGGTGAGACACACACACACTCACACACACACAAAACTGAGGAATGGTTATATAGTCATCGAGTTTATCTGTGGAGGAACTGTTTATATTAATGTATATGTCCTTAAGTAGTCATATTATTATCACTATGTGTAGATTTCAGTGTGATAATATCATCATCAAGTATTCTGATTGTATTAATTTTTGTGAAATAATAAGCCGGCTGAATGTTGCCTTTTAGTTTCATTTGATAGAAATATTACAGTTACAGACAGGAAACACAAGGGGAAAGGGGAGTGAGATGTAATAAAGTGGTTGTGATTATATTATAAATGTTCGGCTTCAGGATGCCCCCACATAGGCGCTTTAAAGCAATAATCTGTAATGTGTTATCTTGATTTTAATAACACCTTTGGTGATAAACTACAGCTAAAATAATTAGTAGATTATTATCAAGAGAAGATTAAAATGAACATGAATATAAATGAACCATGTGAAATTATAGCAGCAACACTCATAATTCAGCAGCTGCACAAACACCGCATTTATTGACTGTCAGCTAAATAGATCGTGATGGTTCAGTTATATTGTGTTATTTTTCTGTTTTAATTTTAGTTGTAAATAAACATAATAATTTAAGGTTCTACAGCTAGCAAATGTTCATTTATTGGTGCTGTTTCAACCCCAGATGATCTTCACCAGGTACATAGATATCCAGCACCAATCCCCCATTCACCTTGTGCGGCCCACCCTATACCTTTGTTGGTCTGGAAATTGATTCATCATTAATTAAATCACATCGTTTCCCCAAAGCTATGTAATATAATATATATTTAATTGATTTAATTTGGAATAGGTGTGTTTGATTGTGTAACTAACCAAATGAGTCTCCACTGTGTTTCTGATGAAGACTTGGACGACTCGTGTTATGACTTCATACTGTTATAAACAGGAGGTTGATCACAAGCCGCAGATGTCAATCTGCAAAATGCAACACATTCCTATGTCCTGTGTAGACGTGAAGTTAAAAGACAAAAAAATGGAGTCAGAGCACTTCCTCGTTGCTGAAATTCATAAGGTCAATAGGTCTTATATGCAGTATGTGTGAGTGACCACCGTGGACAATAGTGTCTAAGAAGACTGACAGCATTCTCTCTGACTCTCTCTGACCAGACCCGAAGCGTGTCCCTCCTCCTGTCTCCCCAAAACCCCGCGGGCCTCCGACGGCACCTAAACCAGGCAAGGCAATCGTAGCTTCAGCTACCATGAGCCCGAGCCCTGCTGCTACCAGTCCCACCCCGGCCCCCAAACCGTCCTCTCCGCCCTCTGCCGCCCCCCTTCCAGCTCCTGACACCCCTTCTGCTCCCTGCCTCTCTCCTGGACTTCCCCTTACATCCCCCTCTCCGGCCCAGAGTCCGTCCACCCCCTCACCCCACCCTGTCAAACCTCCCCGCTCCTCCATCGCCGGCCTCTCCATCGACTTGCTGGGAGGACGGGAGGTAGAGGAGGAAGAGGAGAGGAGGAGAGAGGAGGAGGAGAGGAGTAAAGAGAGGGAGCACAAGAGGCACAAAGAGCAAGAGGAGGAGAGGAAGAGAGCAGAGGAAGAGAGCCAGAGGGAGCTGGAGAAGAAGTCCTCAAGGAAGGATGGAGCGAGAGAAGAGGTGGAAAGTCACACAGAGGGGGAAGAGCAGGAGGAGGAGGAGGAGGCGCAGCACCGTTTGGAGGAGACCAGTGCCTCTTTGGCTGCAGCTCTTCAGGCTGTCGAGCATAAAATCAAAGAGGAGGACGCACAAAATGAGTGAGTATTTATAAAGTTAATCAGCATAATTTAAATATAATGATTTACTTGTTGCCATCCAAGGTGATGATGAGCGGATCAGAGCATAAATGAGCTTTTCCACACAATGTAGAGCTGCAAAGCGAGACAATTATGGAGGTAATAGCCCTGTTCGTCTTCTCCATAAACAATGGGCCTCATGCAACAGCCAGTTGCACAAGCAGATTAAATGGCACATCTGAGAGATTTAAGAGAATCTATGGCATTCACCAGCTTTCTCGTACTTTGAATTTTCTCTTATGTTCAAATTAAATAAAACCTTTTAAACAGAAATGGAAAATGCTGTGTTCAGTGACCTCTACCAAAACCTGTACTTGCCAGCCATATCTGGCAAGAATTATTTTATCTCAGCCTCTAAAAAGAAAGCAAATTCTTTCAAGGAGAAAAAGTTGGTTACAACCTCCCAAGAAACATTAAATCACTGAGTTTAAAGCCACCTGGAACCAAAGTTTACACTCAAATAAAAATCTGTATTTCATATCACCTTCATTCACTTTCAAATTCAAATTCAAAGTCACTGGTGCAGGGTTTTGTCCCCATTTGCAGCAATAAACAGGTCTAAATTTAACACAGCTCGGATTTGTGCCTCAGGCTGGCAGCTTAACCATAGCAACAGTTGCTAAGGCTGATGTGTACTATAGTATTCAGAGCCACACACCGTAACAAACAGACGGAAACAAGGTTTGCATGACATAAACTAAGGCAAAATAAAAGTTGTAAGGCCATGGCAGATTTGACCAAACCCTTGGTTACTGTGGTAACAGTGAGCACAACAGAAGAGCATCTGTTGTGTCTGTTTACAGCACAACCAAGCAAAAACATTGCATTTGTTGTGGCTGCTTCAGAATAAAAGCCCCCTTGTGTTTTGCCAGTAATGTTTGTGATGTGAGGCAGCAGCAGTAGGAAATGTTCAAGTTGCATTAGCAGTCACTTAGTGCAGCTCTGACATGGTGTAAAGAGTGAACAGGATGCAGTTAGGCTGTTAGAAATTAGATCAAATTGCACCGGGTTAAATGCTGTGAATCCAGAGTGAAAGTGGCCCACTGTGTCACTAGCAACAAAAATAACTATCTATAGAGACAATTAGTGAATGTAAATACACTTAATGTGGAGCTGACCGTGAATAGTATCAAAATGGGGTTTGATTTGAGGGAAACTTGAAGGATTATAACTTTAAAGTGGCTTTAATTAGAATTATACCCTGAACCCGTGCACCCCTAAGCTTGTAGCTAAGCTTTCTCATTGTCTACTTGTCTGGTGCTAAGCTTTACTGTTTTAAATCACTCTCACCATGTTTCATGCAGTAAGAAGCTGTTTTCAGCAAAAAGTCCTTAAGGACGCACTGAATGCTAACTGCTCAGCACCAATTAGCAACTAGCTGGTGAACACAGTGGAGCTTTTAGCAGCTAAAGAGACAGATATTTAACCTCAGAGGTTCATAGAGATGAACTCCAGGTTCGCCAGAAACGCAACATCCAAATGAATGATAATGTTGCTTGTTTGCCAGTGCTGGGAGAATTACTCAGATCTTTTACCTAAAGAAAGGTGCTGTAGGTTGATCACAGTGTAGAAACACTCGATATATATACTTAAAGTGCTCAATATGTAGAATGTCCAATTTCAGAATAATATATTTTATATTATTTATGAAATACATAATTATGCACATATATAAAATACATCATGTGTTTGTTTATTATATTTTTTTGATATTAATCTGAATCTGAAAGGTAGTTAGTGACTAAAGCTGTCAGATAAATGTAGTGGAGTGAAAAGTACAATGACACGTAGCAGAGTAGATGTAGAAGTATCAAAATTGTGCTCAAGTTCAGTTCTGGAGTAAAAGTGCTTAGTCACATGTTTGCTTACAAGTTCGTCTTGTTAACTTAAAAAGGTGATGATCCAGTGTTTCAGTGTTCAAATCAGTTATTGTAGGTTTAAAGTTACTGCTAATTATCCAGGAGATTCCTGTGTATCTGTGTTGAGGAGCATCAGATTTACCATTAAAATTCAGGCTAACAGTGGGGAAAACCATCTCTAATTTACTGTGAATGTGTCTGCCTCATTATCAGATAAACTCTTCCTTTTCTGTTATCCAACTCCCAGCTCTCTTTCCAGCAAAAAGACGACAGTCTCCATCTTGGATGACATCGGCAGCATGTTTGACGACTTGGCAGACCAACTGGACGCCATGCTCGACTGATCTCCTGCCCACGTCTCATTTCCAACAAGCTCTTTCCCTCTCCCCCATCATGTGTAGGTGTATCAAGAAAAGCTCTCCCAAGGCTCGATGCTGTCGCTCTGAGAGTGTGTGTGTGTGTGTGTGTGTGTATTTCAGAGTGTGTCCTTCCTGCGCGAGCGCTTCTCATGTAGCCTTGTACAGTATACTGAGGAGGGAGACCTCTTCGTCTGCTGCAGTAGCTCTAGTACGCCTCCTGACGCGAGGAGGCCGCTCCCACACAACCTCTGACCTCTGCAGCCCAGCGAGTCACCGCCGCCCAGCCCTCAGACGGCTGTGTGGACTGAGAAGCACAATCATTTTCCTCATCCTTTATCTCCACAGACTCTGGCTAGGACAGAGATGCAAACCCAGTCAGATGGTGAGACAGACAGATAAGCATATTGCTTGCAAAAATAAGCACATAAACTGACTGACAGACAGGCAGATGGATGAATAGATGAATAGATGAGATAGATAGATAGTCAGATAGATGCATACAGATGAGACCCTGGAGAGAGTTTTTAAAAGCACAAAGAAAGACAGGCCACTTTCTGAGTCTGTCTCACTCCTGCGATGACAACAGGATGCATTTTTCCAGATGAATCGTAGCCTCTATTTCTCTTGTGTATGAGTGGAGGATTGTGGTTAGCCGGACTTCCTGAGCTGTGTGTTGTCTCTCTTCATGTTGTTGTTCTTGCTGTTGTTGTTATTGTTGCCGTTGTTGTCGTTATGAGTGTGTGTAGTCCCTGCTGATGCTCATGTCAATGTCCTCCCACACGTACAGTAGTTATACTAATGATCAGACCGACGATATAGATGTGTGTCCACGAATTTTGAGACACTCACACACACACACACACGCACGCACACACACAAGTACACACACACACACACACACACACACACAAATGCACATCACGTCGGTTTTAATCTCGCTGGTGTTCTGCTTTGTTGGTGTTTAGCTCCACCTATGGAGGTTTGCTTGGAAATGAATCCACACATATACAATACAAAGACTGACATTTACACATTCACATGCAAACACACACATATATATATACAAGCACACTCATGCGGTGTATCCCTTGTCCTGCTGCAGTGAACAGTGTTTTTAAAAGATAATCCTATATTTCAATGCTTTATATAGTCAATCCAGTATACATACATAGAGTTTATAATATACCTGGGTATTTGAGCTGTTAGAGCTCCCTCTAGTGTTGGTTAGTGAAACTGCCTCTAATCTGCCCACCTTCCATCTTGTCTTCCCCCTTTTTTTATCTCCCTTTGTGTCCATTATTTAACTCTGCATCTCTCTGTGCCTTGGTAGTGTTCTTTCATATATTCAAGATTATTTTTGTCTCTTTTTTTCTTGTTTTTCATTCCAAAATGTTTAATGGTTTTCTCTGTTTCCTCACAAACCCATGCTCCTTGTGTGTCTGTGATGTCAAACGTAGCTTATAGGTTGAGTTGTGAGTCCTATGTGATCCCTGAAATCAATCGCCCTGTCTGCAGTCCTCCTGTAACCATTGAGAAGCCTTGTTTGAGGCCATTTAAGCCCTCCTCCCCTCCTCCTGTAAGCTGTAATAAGTTGGCTCTGCTCCACCTCGACTCCCCCAGTTTTCAGTGGTCCCTCATGTAGGCCAGACAGTGGATCAACCACCAGTGTTCATCCCAATGAAGAGTCTACTTGTATTTTTATGCTCTTTGAAAACAAAGATATATTTGAGAGACAGATGGTTCTATGTTAATAATAAAAATGAAAATAATGATAAGACATTGAATTGAGGTGAGCTGACTGAGCCTGTACATTTATGGTTGAGTTCTGGATGTGTTGTGACGGCTGTTGTGCCATGGTTGGGTTTAGGTTGTGTTTCTGCTGTGATGATGCATTCCTGTACAGCTGTGATCAGAATAAATGTATAAATTAAACCTTATGTGACTATTTGAGTTGTTTTTTCTTTTATATCTCACCTGCTTAGGAATTGTCAGAATTATTTTGTAGACTCTTTTACAAAAACAATATGACCATACAACTTTGATTACACCTAAGTAATTTAACCTATAGGTGGTTGTTGAACAGCCTCAACTCCTCTGGTTTCAGGCTTTCAATAGCTTGAGTGACATTGGATTGGGAGACTGTTTTTGGCGAATAAGGCCTGGCCTGTTTGAAACAGGAAAAAGGCTTGGCCAAATTGTTACTGCTTTCAGGGCTGTAGCTCCCACAGCAGACAGAAAGGCATCTGCAATATTGTGCGGATATAACAAATATTACATATAATGGTGTATTTCAGGTCTGCATCTGATATTTTAAGTTTTAGACAAAATTAAGTAATTGATTAAGATAACAGGGCTTGATACCTGGCAGTGTAAAGAGGGCCTTGAAACAACATTTAGACTGTAATTTACAGACTACATAAGTGTGGCTCTTTAAATCTTAAGAAAATTGTGCAGGGTTTGGTTCTGGTGTCTGGACTCAGTATTTCTAAAATCTTTGTTGCTGCACTGCTCATTTTTGTTTCAAATTGTACTGAATATTATAGCACTAGATTTCCCTTACTTGGAACTAAAGGGCCTCAGTTAGCCCATGAAAAGATTAAAACTGAACACAAATATTGAAATATAGGCACATTGAAAAAGTGTCATCCTAATACTACATATCAGAGTGAACTTGTTACAACGCTCTGCAGAACATCAGTTGACATTGCTAACACCTACAGGCGCATGGTGTACAACACATTAATAGTCACTGGTAAAATATCTCGCTTGCAGAGATTCTTCATGAAATGTGTGCTTACGAATAAGGCAACAGGCCAATATTGTTTTAACTTTTACTTCTAAAACTACCAGACCTGTGCTTCATATCACCAACAATATGTGTTTACCCTGTGATCTACTGAATTAAGAGCAATGTTTTCAGTGAGGGGTTTATATTTGGAGCTTTTGCAATAGTTGTTGTTTGAGGTATTTTGACTCCTCACCACTGCACTTCGTCTGACCCCATAAATTAGATGTTTACTCACTTACTCTACATAACTAAAGGATTTGAGTTGTAAATAGGAATTTGTGTTTCTCAAATAATTAAGATTGGAGGCCTGTTTTCCAGCTGTGCTTACAATATTACTACTGTAAACAACATTTAACACATTTGTGTATTTATTTATGTTATGCTGTGTGCATGTGAACAGAGCATTAAATATAACGAACATTTATTTGCCATCTCATTAAACATACATGTGCATCGTTTCTGGCAAATTATTTGGTTTTAATTCCTGGTATAACTTGGTAACAGTTCAAAATCCAATGTTGAAGTATGACCCACCCCTAATATCTAATTTCAACCAGCATTTAAAGGCCTTTATTCCGTTAGCGTTCAGAAACTACAACTCCCATGAGGCTTTGAGAGGAATTCTGAGTCTAGGATTCATGGGAGATGTAGTTGTCCGATGCTAACAAAAAAAACGTTGTTATTTTAGCGTTGTTAAGGGTACAAATAACTCTGTACAGCTCGTTAATGGAGGCAAAGTAAGTGCAGAATATGGTCAGAAACTCCTTTTTCATAAAGTGGGAAAAACACATCCCAGAGGGGGCGGGACTTCCTGTTGAACCGGAGGCATATAAGTTCATCGCCTCGTGCACGTACAGTCTCTTCCTCGCAGCTTTGGAAAGGAGGGGGACTGACCTTTGCTACACTTTTAACAGTTTATTCTCCAGTCGTTGCACCATGGCAGTAAACCACAACAACAACAACAACAACAACAGCAGCAGCAGACACTCACCCTTGTTTTTCTGTGGACGAGCGGTTCCGTTTGTTTCACAGAGGCCGAGCTGCTCAGACAGACGTGAGTATGAGGTTAACATGTGGCGGACCTCACGCAGCCACGTTGGCCTGATCAGCAACACGTGGATGATCTGTTAGAATAGCACAGTGCTGGAGGTTATTTGTATATCATTTAGTTTTCATAGTATAGTATTTATATAAAAGATTCCACTGCGTTTTCTCCACTCAGACATTAATAATAGACCTGGTCTGTCATTAAAAAGGTTATACTGATCAAACTAGGTCTCCATTTTAAAAACCACTAAATAAAAGTTAAATAAGTGAATGAAGGCTTCATAAATCTGACAGTTTTTAAACAGATTTAACTACCTTAGATATTGTGGTGTTTGTTCTAGACCTGCGTCCAGGTGTTGGGTCGTGGGCGGCGGGGGGGGGGGTGATGCATCAGTAATAGTAACGTTATAATGTAGTAATGTTGCTTAAACTGAGGTGGAGTTCATATTAACTGCTTCATGTGTTTTTGGGTAGTTTCATTTATAATGATGCCTTATCATTTATATAGACTGATCTCCTGTCTTTTATAAGGGTATCTTAAAAATCTTCCTTCCTTTTTGTTTTCAGTACCAGTTCCAGATCTGTTCAATTTGTTCCATTCATACATTATCTACTTCTTATCCAGGTCCAGGTTGTGTTTACAGACATTAGGGAATATTGTGTACCGCTGAGAAGTGCTGACAAAAGTGAGATGTCAATAAATTCATGAACTGTGTAGATTATTTTAGGTCCTTTTTTTGCAAAAAAGAAGCCAGTAGCAGAAAGTGAGGTGCAGTTTTCACCATTATTTAAAATTGTCATGTGTGTCTAATCATCCATATTAACATTACAGATGAAGCTGAAACAGATGGCAGTGTGGAGACTGGGGGCTGAATGGTGTTGTGCCTTAGCAGACTGAAGACTGGGAGCTGGTGAGTCTTTACGTCGGTTGTATGAAACGGTTTCAGCCAGTGATGACAAACTAAATAAACTTTTCTGACACCTACTATGAGAGCTGAACTGCAGCTCCTGATTCTAACTTTATTCTGAGGCTCCACTATCGGTACATTAGTGCAGCCTTCACCTCAAAACTGTCACTTTTCCTAACTTAATTTTAAAAAACTTTAAACCATTTTGCAGGTAAGAATGAGGAGGCTTCAAAGCTGGCTGGACAAAGATCCAAGAAGTTCTTATTGAGCAGTGGGACGCCGCTGGGTGTGAGAGCTGGTGAGTCTTTATAATGGTGTTGGCATTTGAACACTTTGTAGCCAGTGATGACAAACTAAATAAACTTTTCTGACACCTACTATGAGAGCTGAACTCCAGCTCCTGATTCTAACTTGAATCTGAGGCCATGTGATTGTTGTTCAGAGCATGTGACTTCTGTCTCGTTTTGTCTCTTAAAATGTCCGTGTTTCTTGTCTTGAGGCTGAACAGGGGGAGACTGAAGACTTGGGGAGCTGGCTGGACAAAGATCCAAGCGTCAGATGGTGGTGAGATCACAGATGTGATCAAAGGGTCCACTGCTGTCTGAGCTGGTGAGTCTAAATAACATGTTGACTTCTGAAAACTTTTTTTTATTTTTTCCTAAACAGCCAGTGATGACAAATCAAATAACTTTTCTGACACCTACTATGAGAGCTGAACTCCAGCTCCTGATTCTAGCTTTTTGTCTGAGGCTCCTTCAGTAAATATATATGTACACTTTATGCTCATTTCTTTATGAGACTTATAACTGAGCTCCTCTGTTACAGGCTGATCCATCACAAAGGAAATGAATACTCCTGACTGGTGCCGCCAGTGACACACAACGGGTGATCTGGTTTATTATAATGGGAAGTCTGTGTGTATATTTTGTGCGATACAGCAAGTGATGTCTGCCTTCCCCCTATGAGAGCTACCGGCTCATGATTATAAACCTTTTTTTTAAGGCTACTGTTGATTGGTTGCATTTGTCTCTATGGCCCTGTTCACACCTGACGACATTAAAATGCGCCTCGAGTGGCCACTCATGATCAGATCTGAAGAGGCCGTCCTTCGTGTTGCTCGCACGCTCACCTGCCGCTGCTGCCTGTGACGTGTAACTTTCTGCGAGATCAACTGCTCTCTCTCCTTTACTCTAAATCCTTGTGCTACTGTCACTGCCTTCTGCTAATTACAGGGTGTTGGATTCGTCTCACCTGAATTATGTTACATCAATGTGATCTTTGAATAAACTATTTTATATTTAAACCTTGCCAGCGCCTTGATGTAATATTCACCACCTCACACCAAAAGGAGACATGTTTCTAGCACATTTTACATGTGCAGTAACAGCTTGAAGGCACAATCTCCAAAATATCTGACCTCATGAATTTCATGTATATGGACATAGTCTATATTGAAGTTGTAAATGGGAATTGAGTTCTCAAATAGTCCTAATTAGAACTAGGTCTATTTTCCAGCGGCGTTCCCAAATTTACAGTGTAAAACATTTAACAGCTTAGTTTCAATCTAGCTGTGTTTATGGCCCTATATATGAAAGAGTCAATTTGGGGGCAATATCAAATTATCTTTTATTTGGATTGCAGATTAAACTGCTACAGTCAGTTTATTTTATTATACATGTAAACCATGACAGTATAGCACGATCAACTTGTACCTGTGTATGCAAACCACCAAATTACATGTGTTGGGATTTACATCATTTATCAAAAGTTGTAATTTTGCTGCAGGACAAGTTATATGTTGCATAAGTTAACGTAATAATACTTAATAAATAAACCACAGGGCCTTTGTGACTTAACACTGACAGGGGCCATTTTGCATAACAAGTATTTTTACTTTTCATACTTTATTTGTTGGTAATACTTTTGTACTTTTACTCAAGCTGTTTTAAATGCAGTAGCCTACTTTTACTTGCCATAGTAAGTAAGTGATTGTGCATTGTAGCGTTGCTACTTTGCAAAGCAGATTTCACAGTGATCAAGGTCCAACCCAAAATAAACATGATAAAACGACAAAGGTTTTGTCCCATCAGTTTTTTTCTTGTGCTGAGATCAAAAATAAAAAGAGGCATCTACAAAGCATATCAAACTGAGCTGGGGTTCTGTCATTGTGCGGATTGTTCGTCCTAAACCTCACACTTCTCATGTTAGCTACTGGGGGTCTCTAGGGGTCTCTGCCGTGTATTAACCCAGAAACCGACATCATCTCCGGTCATCTGAATATAAATGAACGCCCGGCTTGTTTTCCCTTTGGAGCGCGTCCTCATTTGCGTGTTTCCTGCCTCTGCTCGGGCTCAGTGGGTGTGCGGATTTCCATACAGGTGCGTCCTCAGCTCCAGTCTCATTTGACTGTCAAACCAGGCGGCGGTGCTCCTTTTCTCCGCCCTGCGCATCCCGCATCCAGTCGCTACCAGAGAGGAGCGTAGGGGAGTGCCCTGCGCCGCGGACCGCCGACACACAGCCGCCTCCTCCTCCTCCTCCTCCTCTTCCTCTTCTTCTTCTTCTTCTTCCTCCTCCTGCACTGAAGCCGGACTCATCTTCCGAAGAAACTCCTCCGAGCCCCGACTGTCAGCGGTTCTTCTCGCTGTTCAAGCCCAGTCTGCGTCCTCTATCACCCGGCTGCACACGAAATCGACCAGCGGTCCACTCCGGTAGGCCTGACGGTAAGAGCGGTTGTTTGTGTGTGTGTGTGTGTGTGTGTGTGTGTGTGTGTGTGTGTGCAGGGGGGGGGGGAGTTATGTCTTTCCATCCACATTAAATCACGATACATCTAGTTTTGAGCTGATGGTTTAGGTAGCCCACACCATGTATACTGGATTTAGCCTCCTACACACTTATGTTTATGTCGGGAAGCGACTTCAATCTCCTGTAAATGTGTGATCAGCAGCCTGAAATATCCCTGATTGCTGAGTGATGGAGACTGATGTCACTCTAACACATTTGGAGGACATAATTAAATGATGAAGGCCTTTTCATGGAACAGCTGGCTGCTGGGGACACAGCAGGATGGATGCTTGTGGAGGAAACCGGCACCGGGCGCTCGACCTACTTAGATCCATTAAAAAGATGAAGAGGAGGAAGAGGAGGAGGAGGAGGAGGAGGAGGGAGAGACAGTTTCCAATAGAGAGGGCTAAACTGATCCATGGCTCGCCTGAAGTCTCATCTGGGCCCTGCCTCTCTCTCTCTCTCTTCCTGCTGTAATGTGGCCTGTGGCAGGGTGGGGCAGGATTTACAATAAGTAGAAATAAAAGACAGTGAAGGCAGCCAGTGGACTTTGTTGGATTGCTTGAAGGTTATTTTGTAAACATCAGAGATGTAAAAACAAAGTGCATTCCCTCAAGTACTGCACTTAAGTCGAGTATAAATACATTGAAATTGCACTTTTACCGCACTACTTTTATCTGACATCTGCAGTAATTTACTGCACTCTGTTTTTCCTCTTGTAATGTGCTGCACAAAGTGCTGTACTGAAATACAATTTCATGATTATTTGTATGTTACCTGAAAGCAACTCCAATGTTAACTCTTGTTTTGCTTCCATTTCTATCATTTAAATCGAAATTAGCATGCTAAACAGCTAGCCCCAGCACACCCCCTCGTGTAATACTATTTTCCGATACCGAGTCACTGTAGCCTTCAGTCTGCCCTGAAGATGTAGCGCTGCTCAGAGGGCGTATTATAACCTCTTGTCTTGTAAACACAATGATGGCTGAAGCTCTTGGCAAGCGACCATCACCACCACCCGCTCCCGGCAAGAAACCCCTTTAAAAACAACAATTTAAGGACATTTTATCACTTAATACTTTTACTTCAGTGACATTTTTTTTTTTTTTTTTTTTTACCGTCAACAAATTTTCAAGGACAAGGTCTTGTCCAAAAAACTATTAAAAACACATCACTGAGTAACTACTCTACTATAAATACTCACCACAGCACGAAAATGTGTATTTATCCACCACTGCAAGAAACCATCCTACTCCTGTTTGTGTAACGTTTGCTAAAATCTAAAGTGGGACGAACTGACAAGAGAAATAGACCATAACACCAGCCTTATTCTTTAAGTTACATTTTGTGCAGAGTAGAGTATTTCTACATTGTGGAATTACCACCTTTACTTAAGTTGAAGATTTTAAAGGTTTTTTCCATCACAGTTACAAAAAAATCCAGGCATCCGAAACATATGAGAATATCCTTCACTAGCAGAAGTACTACTTTAAGTAGAAATACTTGTTTTAAAAACTGCTTTATAGCTGTTAACAGCTATTAAGTTGAGTTAAAAAGGCAGTGGTGGATAGAATATTACAGTATGATTTTCAAGTAGTGGTTTTACTTACCACTAACATATGGTCTCATTTAGTGGGTCACCGTGACATTTCTGACAGTGACTGTTTCTGTATTAATACAGGATGTTCTATCACCCACTTCCTCTGCAGTTCAGAGAAGCTCCCCACACTACTGCCATCTGGCTTATATAGGGTTTCCTCAGATACTGTCAAACACAGCAGCAACTCCAAAACTAGGGGTCAGGACCCCATAATTAGTCATAAGATATACCTGAGAGCTCACGATATGATTAACAGGAAGTAATTTGCTGGTTCCAGTTTTTCAAGTATTAAGATTTGATGTTTTGCTTGATCTTACATGCTGGTAAACTGAATATCTTTGAGTTTTGGACAGTTAGTTGGACAAAACAAGACATTAGAAGACGTCGACTTGGGCAGCTGGAAATGATAAAGGGCATATTTTTGCTAATTTTTTGACATTTTATAGACAAATGATTGATGATAATAGTATAATAATCTGCAGATTAATCGATAATGAAAGTGATAGATGGTTGAAAGACATTCCCTTTTTGGTTGAACTTGTCACAATCACCAACCAGTAATGGGGGGGTTACACGATGACGTTGATTCAATTTAAGGTCATAAAGTGAAATAGTGACATCCTGATCGTACAATAAAAACAGAATTTCAAGTCATTCCACTTTTCTTGTCTTTTCCACAAGTAAAAACTTAATAGGATTTCTAGTCAATTACTGTCTCATTTATACAGAGGAAAGCACTAATATAAGACTGACCACAGAAACGAATGGCTCAGTTACAACAAAACCCCTGATTCATTTTGATCTCCGCCTAAGTTTTGCTATGATTGATGTGGGTCTGAACTTCTGTTGCAGCCCATCTACTCTATCTGTTGTGTGTGTCTGTGTGTGAACAGCAGTATCATCATGGAGGAGTTAGACGTCCCACAGATGAGGAGAGAAGTGGAAAGCCTTCAGTATCAGCTGGCAATCAACAGAGAGAAATCCTCCATCACTGTCACTGAGTGAGTGTCACCTGTCCACACGCACACACAATCTCTTCAAGTATTGATTATCACATGCGTGCTGACGGTGTGTTTTTGTTCGGAAGGCTGGTGAAGTGGATCGAGGGTTGTGTCTGTGAAGATCCGTTCCTGAACCCTGAGCTGATGAGAGCCAACCCCTGGGTGGAGAAGGGCAAGTGTGTGATCCTCTAATGGTCACACACACACACACACACGTGCACAAACAAAAATCACGGATGCATATAAACTAAAAACAAAAAAAAAATCATGCCCTCCCACACACAGTCACGCTGCACTAACTCTGCACTCGCTCGCGCTCACACACACACACAGACACACACATTATTGCTATTATCTTGTTTATTTATTTGGAGACTCCTGAATGCTGTTAATTTATGTGAAGATTACCGTGTGTGTGAGTGTACAGCACTGAGTAGCTTTCTAGAGGTTTGTTTTGATGGACTGCTGAGAAATGTTCAACAACACAATGTTTTTATTGGCTCTTTACACTGTCAATCAAAAATAAAGACTCTTTTGAATTTAACAGACGGATTTGTGGATTCATTCGGACGCTTACATGCAGCACAGGTAAAAGAAATACAGTTATATGTGTGTGTGTGTGTGTGTGTGTGTGTGTGTGTGTGTGTGTGTGTGTGTGTGTGTGTGTGTGTGTGTGAGAGAGCGTGTTACAGTAGTTCTCTGATGTAGACATTTCGTCGGACAGCGTTGGACATGCCCTCGTTGAACCGGAACCACACGTCACTGTTGCCGACTGCTGTTCCCATGGAAAGAACCGCACATTTCTCACCTACAGCGAGAAGAAAAGAGCAATTAAAAAGAAAAAAAGATAAGAAAAAGCAAACACACAACATATACTATAGTGCCCGTCAAAAGAAGAGAGAGGACCCACTGATTCTTCAAGCTCCTCTCAACTGCTCAAAAGATTAGCCACTTAATCTGATAGTTAATTGACAGAAAAGTGGATTGATAACTAGTTAAATAATTATTTAATTATTACATAATATTCACATCTAAGAAACTGGAACCAGTGAGTTCCTGCAGTGTGTTTTAGCTTATTAGTTAGCTCATTGTCAATTAACTGATCAAAACCATTGATTTGCAGGATATGAAGCTTTTCACTGTTTCATATCAATAGAAAACCTGAATCCCTTTGGCGTTGTTTTTTTTTTTTAACTGTTATTCAGACAACATAAGCAAATGGAAATCATCAGCGCTTGCTCCAAGAACAAACAATGGGAAATGTATATTTTATTAATCCAACTTTTTCTCTCCTAATACGTCAACTCTCGAGTATCTTCAGATACGTAGTGATCCATTGACCAGTGCTTTCTTGTTTTCCCGCCAAATCTGAAAACTGCTCACTTCACTGCATGGAACACACTGTTATATATTTATATGTTAGGTCACTAAAGAAACTGTATTTAAAGTGGATCAGTTTCGTCATGGCCCGCTCCAATTTACCAGCTCAGTCTCAGCGGAGACACAGATTGTGAATCCTTTCCCGAAATACTATAAAAGACCATGCAGACTGTACAGGCCCACAAGCGTGCTGACTTTAGTGTTCACTGTCTTTACGGACTCAAACCGGTGACGTGATCGTAGTGATGTACATCATCTGCACCAAACAGTCACTCTCAAACTGATGTCCAGGTATTCAACAGGGGAATCAGGACAGGGATTTAGAGCCATGCCTGTTTTGGTTCCTGCTTTGACGTGCAAATAGCCAAAGCGCTGCTTTTCCACCCCGATTACCCTGTTGATCAATTTCCGGGATGCACTGCTTTTAGGGAGGTTAGTGATTTTAATGGGTCGAACGTTAATTGCTACTAAATGCTGAATCTGGGACTGTGTTACCAACTGAATAAAAGCGTACAGGTGCTTGTGCAAAGCGTGATTTAATCAGTTAAAAGTTTTTCCTCCACGTTGAATGGAACGAGTTTCCCTTTATGTTCATACAGTACATGAGAAATACTGTATATAAACAGAAGCAGAGGGACAGTAAAATGCCTTCATCAGAGTTACCCCGGCTGCCATGTTGGAGGAGAGAAAAGAAACTACACAATTCAGTTAAAGATTGCAGATCAGGCCGTGTCACGTCCTTTTTTTTGTTGATAACACAAATATGACACGACCAACATTATGGTGGCAGTGCTGCTGACAGTCCAGATCTCCTCCCTGCAGTCTGCCGCGGGAGCACTAAATTAGAAACATTACATAACACACGTCAGTTATCACCTCTGGTGTGTTTGGACCTGATGTGCCTCGAGGCATTTTTCCCTAAAGAGCCCGCGCTCTCAAAGCGTTTGGATAAATGAAGCCACACTTATGTCACCGAGCGCAGAGTCTCTACGGTACCTGTGTCTGAGGACGCCTGGGGTCTCTGAGGTTTGGGGGCAACAGCTCGACCGAAGAAATCCACCTCCGGCTGCAGGACACAAACACAGAGTGAACAGGATAATCAGGAAGTTTCCACTGTCCTCAATAATAAGGTCAATAGCAGTGAACAATCACACTCACACACACACACACACACACACCACCTCTCATTAGCCTAATTTCCCAGTCTTATCATTGGGGACTTTAACCCAGTGGCTTCTCATTATCCTCATTCCTGCCCTCTAGAGGCCCCCTCTCTTCATCACTCTATTACAGAGCTATTAAAACTCTTCAGCTCAGTCAAACAGGCTCTGATGTTCTGTGTAAACAGATGCTAGCTGCTCCTCTCTGGCTCCACCTACAGGCATTAGCTAACACATACAACTGTGGCAAGCTCATCACCGGTAGGAATCAACTGAGTGCTCGAACAACCAAAGAACCACCATAGAAGGCTAAAACTGTGTCAGTGAAAACTAGACTCATAAATGGCCGGCCTCTGAAGAATCATCTCGTGGTAACAGCTGACAAACACTTCAGTTTTCTACCTAAAGTTCATCACGACACATCTGCCGTCATGCCCATTAATATCCCTGGTGTCATTTTTAACTGAAAAATCTGCACCTGCATGTGTCCGTTATCATAATCTGTTTAAATGATTTAACAAATCGAATAAGATCAATGTAAAATATGTGACATAAATGAACAAATATCAATTTGTAGTGAAATAACACAGGCCTCTGAAAAGGAAGGTTTCTGTGTGGATTTGCAGATAAATAAAGAACAATCAATCAATCAACAATCAACAAGCGTACTGATTAATTAAAGGTGTTTTTTGTTTTATTCAGAATTAAAATGAGCTAATGTTGCTGATCTTGAACTGTGGGAGTTAAGATGTATCAGCATTTCTTTGAGCTCCACTGACGGTGATAAATCCTACCGTGACTTGCAAAATATTTCTGACTGATGTGTCAGAAATACTGATGTGTACCTGTGAAACGTCACCTGCCATAGAGTGTGTTACTGTGAAAACTGCACTGTCATGTCAGTGATATTCGCCGCATCATGACTGCATATTTAACAGGGTTCTTAATGTAGTGATTTTAATTTCTTATGTCTTCTGTTTTGATGTTTGAAAATTTAACGTAAAATATTCAGTTCATGTAAACATCACCTTGACACCACCTCTTATTGTTCAATAAAGAATAGAAACAAACAAGTCTTGCAGCGATCCCTGGGCTGCATTAAGGGCGAGCCAAACCCTCTGAAGGACAATGTTTATTTTGTTAGTTTTTGCAAATAAATTTGATCTTTTGGTTTTCTTGGAACAACTGTGAAGTATTTTCCTTTCTTTGTCGCAGCCTCGAAGCTGACTCCTGTGTGTTTGTGTGACTCACCCTGGTCTCCACTGTGGTCTGTTTGACAATGTTCTCCAGCCTCTGCTGATGGTTCCTGGTTGGTTTAGGAGCGGCGCTCTTTTTTTCCTTCTCTTTCTGCATCAGACGGACACAGTAGATTATAAATACATTACATTATTAAACACACTCAGTGACCTGATTGTCTACCTACAGGCTGTACTGTGTGTAACAAACGCATAATCTCTCGGGGGAAACGGCGTTGTGTGTCTGAAGTCTCACCACGGCAGGGTTCCGCTGCAGCATCACTTGCTCAGCTCTCCTCATCCTCTCTTGCTCCATCTCTCTGCTTATGGTTTGTTTGGCCTGGTACGTCAACTGGCGATGCGGGGGCAGGCCTGGAAACCTCACTACCTCCTCAACACGTCTACAGACACACACAAGAAGTAAATAGCTCCACGTGGTTTTTACACGTGGACAGACACACTCATAAGATGGTGCAGCTGACACGGAGGTGAACCCTGTTAGATGACAAACTAAATAACAAAAAACTTCCACTTTTGGTGTCAGGGTTTATGTTTTTCAGAATACAACCCTGAATCTGCCTTATCTAAAACCTTAATCCTCTTACCGCTGATCTCCATCTCAATCCAACACACACACACACACACACACACACACACACACACACACACACACACACAGCGTGCCTGTAAACCCTCACTCAATGCCTGATGGACCTAAATATAACATAAATAAGATAATACCAGTCTGTGAGACTGAGAGTTATTTATTGAAAGTTATTACTATAAAATTTCAGTGCTGTTATTATCACAACTTGGAAAAGGCCAATGAAACAGCTACTTGGCTCAAACTCCCCTTTTAACACAATGACTTTAACACTATGCAGCTGATATTAAGTAGTTTAACCTCTGACAACAACATTTATCTGTTTAGCAGTTAAGGGTGTGAGCACATTCAGTCTTTATCTGCAGCTTTTTCAACAAGTTACAAGTTGAGTCAGGTCACATTTACACATTTATGTCTTTCTGAATTTAGTTAACCCCGTTATGGCTGCAATTATAACCGTTATTTTTAGAACGGATAAATCTGCCAACGCGTTGATCGATTAATCGTTTTGTCTGTAATGTGATATACACTTGTCTTTCTCTCCTTAATGCCTTTTAGGTTTTATATAAAGCACTTCGGACTGCCTTGTGGTTGAAAGGCGCATGAAAAAAAAACATAAAAAATAAAGATCAATTATCAAATTTGGTGGCAGTTAATTTTGTGTGGATCAACTAATCGTTTCAGCTCCCAACCACATTCACTTTTGTTCTTGGGTATTAGAATAGTAGACGGACTAACCATATTTACATACGGTCAGAGCTGTGAGGTTATGTATAGCTGACACAATATAGATAAAGATAACAGTTCAACATTAAAACTGTTTTAAATGCGACTCCGACTCTCTGCCTGCTCACAGCCTCCGAAACCAGGCCATCATTAATAATTCTGCCAGTCTGACCAATCCGCAACAGTGTCCAAAAAAGAGAAGTCCAATCAAATAATCCTGTTGGGGCTGAGCACATCTGCTGCCCATGATGTTAAATGTTCATATCCACAATTGTGATCCAAGTCTTTACCCATGAGGCATCAGAGAGTGGTGTTGTGGTGAGCTAGAGAGGGCAGGTACAGGAAGGTGTAGACCAGGAGAAGCAGCAGTAGAGCCAACACTAGAGGCAGGCACCAGTCGTTGGTGACCAGCACCTTGTCACAGCGAGCCTGCAGGAAA